GCGTCGTGCCAAGGACGACAGTATATTATTATTATTATATTTCCCATAATCGTTCTCCCTGTCGAGAACGCAACAAATAAGTATATATTGGTACCAGACTTACGACAATATAATGAATAATAATTAAAACTGTCGAGAACGCAACAAATAAGTATATATTGGTACCAGACTTACGACAATATAATGAATAATAATTAAAAAAATCGATCACAATGCGAATTCATATCCATGTGCAGCGTGTACCTTATATGCTATATTAATATTTTATGTTATATAATATAATGTTGTACGAGTAACGATACAAAACAAAATTTAAACGTTTAACGGGTACCTAAACATTATAATGATCGACCGATGGGTTTCATTTTTATCTTAACAATAATTTATTGATRATAAAGGGTAGGTAATAAAATTATGTATCAATTATTTGCAATTAATTTTCAATTAAACGTGTTGATAGGTAACTACTGTTATGTAAAACCAACTCTGAATAAACAAAATGCATTTAAGTTACAGAAGAATTTGCCATTGTTGCTATTTTCGAATTTCCATTAGCTTTAACCTTGGGTATAGAAGAGCTGGCGGGGAGATAAAAAATACATAAACGAAGCCCTGCAAGCAACGAAACGTTTAGTAATGTTTTCCATTCAGCTAACGCGTATTCGATAGTAGATGTTAATTTTTTTATTCTCACGTTAAACACACGTCTTATAAAAAATTGCGCGCGATGTACGTATAAATATATATTTTTCCTTTCAATTATTGTAAAAAAAAAAAAACAAATATATCGTGATACCGATGTTCTGTGATGCCAATTAATCATGGTAGCCCTAGGCATGATGGCATGCATGACCTTCACGTTGTTTTGGGGTGAGTTCAACTTTTGAATGATGTGTAGAGCAAAATGTGAAACCACAATTTTATCGTTCAGGTAAAAATCCATTTTCCGCTACAATGACGCCCAGGGGTCGATGCGAAGGTTGTTGTCCAATAAACGAAAAAGAGGACATCGCATTTTTTTCATACTCGAGGTGTGTGCAGTATGTGTGTGTGTGTGAATGTGTGTTTTTGTGTGTATATATGTTTGTATATTTAATAATATTTTTTATGTGTGCTTATACATGTGTGTGTTCATTTCATTACTGTTATGTTATTAATTTATTATTATTGTTTTTGCTATTACTATATATGTAACTATATAAAATAATAATAATCGAAAAACAAATATGATGTTGTCCAGGAACAACCCTTTTCGTCCGAGACGCATTTATATCGGTGACGATGTTTCCCTGCGTCGAGCCAATATGATGAAAAATTTGACCACCGTGATCTATGTTCACGGGTTTACAGAGCAAGGGAACTCCAAGGGTGCGGAGACCATGAAAAAAGGTATTTTTCAAAAAATATACAAATTATCAGAACGGTTATGAATCGTCACTGCGGAGAGGAACGCCGAACGACGTTCATAYATTTTATCATTCTTAAAGCGATTGAAAACCGTATAAATGTTCACAGCGTATTTGCACCGAGGAGGAGTAAATATTATAATAGTCGATTGGAGTCCTATGTGCGCTTTCCCGTGGTATAGTCACGCAGTACTCAATACGCGTATAGCCGCTAAATATTTGGCAAAGTTCATCGAATATTTAGTGTCGAGAAGGTTCTATCTGTCCAAAATACATTTAATTGGATTTAGTCTGGGCGCTGAAATAGCCGGGTTCACTGGMAAAAATCTTAAAATCGGAAAACTTCCAAGAATCACAGGTAAGTAATAACTCTTATAGTTCAGCCTACTTAAATTGATTAAATATTACTGTAATAAACTTTTATCCACATGAACAAGATTTATCGTTAGGATGAATCCATATGAATTTCTATACATTGTTTTTGCAAAATGAAATTATACTAGACTTTTTTTACATGTTCTTACAAAATATTAGGCTGCTTTTATTTAAAAAGTTATAAAACTAAGCCGTAAAAATTCATTAGTACCTAATTATTTACTAGATACCTACTTGAAAATTACCTATTTATTTTAAAAAACTGCAAATTTAACTAAAAATCATAATAAAAAAATAAAAATATTTTCAATATTATATAAAGCTAATACGTATTATATAAGTACTAGGTAGGTACCTAMTTAATTTACTTATAACATTATAATATAATATTGAATAAGATACCTTTCAAATTATAACAAAATATTTTTTTATAAGTTTTTTTTATTAAAGAATGATATCATAGTTTTCTATCAAACATAATTAATAATTATGTTACACGAATAAACTCAGTAGCATTGTTATTGTGGAGGATACTATAATTAAAAACGGGGTAATTAACTATTCAAAATATTGTTTATTCTTGGAAACAGGAAATTAAAATTAATCATGTCACATAAAATAAACGATTTCGGTGAATAAAGTTTTCAAATTTATTTATTAATAAAATCGAAATCAAATTACTAACGTTTCTAAAACGTTTGACATAATTTTTTTTAAATAAACTAATCATAATATTGAAATATACCTTTTGCTTTTCAGGAAATTACTTACACTATACTCTAAATGTTTTCATAATAAMTATTTAAATAATTAATATTTATTTTGAATAATATTATTGTGTGTGTACTATACAGCAACACAATGTCACATATTATTATACTATGATTTATAACCAATAGATAACAATTTTATATTTTGACATATAATTGATACACGATTACGCCATTTAAGTTATCGTATATTTTACATATTTTCTCAACATTTAATGACAATGCACATAATTTGATGTTTTCGGTACTCAATCATAAGTCATTTATAACTCCAATTTCAAGCATAAAATTACCTCCAAATAGTGCAAATACACAATTTAAAGTAAATAAATACAATAAATAAAATAATTATAGGGTGGTACATAGCCACATAGGTGCAAAAGATATATTGTGTTTATCACTTTTATTTAGATTTTATGATTTGTTTTTTTAACAATCGGTATTAAGTATGTTCAAAGATCAAATTTAAATTTTTATGCCGTATTTTAAAGTTTAAATATTATTTTTGTTTTAAAATAAAATTTGTTATGGTAACGGATAATAAATAATAATAAAAATACAATAAAACTGCGTAGTATATTTTATTTTCAATGTGAAATGCCAATATTTTACGAACATTATGTAATAAATAATAATAATTTGTACATCAATTCATTATTCAATGTATGGTTATCGAAATAAAAATATAATATTATTACACTTTAACGATATCATCGAGATTACCTTCAAAATAATAACATAATAATTTATCGTTTTTAAAAACGTCCGGGAAAATTATTTATGGATTAAAAAACTAATATTTTTAACTTTTAAGCTTTAAAGAGTTTACGATAAAAAATTAAATTCAGAATATCGATAATCATTAATCAATCAATACCGTTAATTCCCAGTGCATCTTGTGAACCTTTTAAAAATTATTGTCAGTAATTAACTACACGTTTGTGTGTACGTATAAAATATATATGTGGCACGCTAACTTTGCCAACTCCGGTATTGTAATAAAATGAAAATGAACAAAGTTTCGATGGGAAAAGTGTTTCCGTAACGCACCCACCCACTTATTATATAATTATGAAAAGTTTAATAATAATAATAATAATAATAATAATATCTTACGGTAACATAAACAATTTGATTAGACGATATTAATCTTTCGCGCAATTGTGTTTACTACATCTTTTGCACTATAGTCAGATAATTTTTGAATATATTATATGAGTATAAAAAATATAGATAATCGTGTTACTTAGATTAATCGATCAGGATTTATTTTAAATCTTTCGCGTGGCCAATTATCTTTCCGTCATAATCGATGCGAAATAAATTCAATAGCTCAGTCTCATGTGGGTGGGGAGAGTGAACGGTGCCTTAGGTGTTGAAAATTGAAAAATATCTGCAGTCACATTTAAGCAAAAAAAAAATTTTTATACTATATTAGCATTTCTAGAAAACCTGTCGTCGTATAACACGATTCTATTTCGTATTTTGTATTAATATTAATATGAAAAATAAATACTACAATTTGAAGAGAGTGTGTAGATCTACCCACGTAATCTATATTTAGGTAAAATAAGTTTAACACCCCCCCCCACCCCCCACAAAAAATAAAATGAAAATAAAACCCCCGCTTCGTCGTCTGAAATCGAATATTGAAACATTGTTTGTCGAATCGTCAGTGATACTGACGATTTGTTGATACTATTATGTATAGGCATATATAATATTTTATAGTTTCTTCTTCTACCTCATCATATTATGAAATTGTAATTATCATCGTAATAATTCATAATCGTTGTCGGTGTAGTGCTGAAAAATCAGCACTTTACACGTGCACGTGTGACTTGGTTATAACGATATAATTATTAATATTTAATACGTTCGCGAGAGACAAAAACGGTGGTGGGAAATGTAATGTTTCAAAGGAAAATAATTAAAAAGCGCACACTCTGTCTATAAATAATAATGTATGGGTAGGTAAGCGGGTGGTGGTATTTCGCACTATATACATATAAACCAGGCACCAGCAACAGCTTTAATCGGAAGATTTTGTGCGACCCCTAGAAAACAGGGCAGAAACGCGTGATGATAATAATTAYATATTATTATTATTATAATGATTTACGTAAACGACAAACGGTTTTATGAGAGCTGCGCGAGAGGAACATTATTCGCAACTCGCCTAAATACACACACGTTGCAGGATCGGGAATTATGTGTAACGCGTATAACCCGCTACCTTACAACACTCTAGATTTTATACTACCTGCACCACGTTTATAGTTTATACCTACATCGTGTATAATAATAATAACTTGGTAATACCATGGTCGATGCGGCAAAATCGTCTCCACCAGGTTAAACTAACACCTGTGCGCGTATGATATTACTATTATTATTATTATTATATTGTTCCCATATTTAACTAACTATATTATTACAGTTGTTTGCGAAATTGGCAAGCGTTATTTATGTATGGTTTAGTACGTATAAAATTACATCGGCCGATATAGGTACACGTACATTGGTATAATTATTATTGTACATATTATTTTACGCTACGCAGAACATGACCTCTATTGTAATATTATACTCGATTTTCGTATGATTTATTATTATATTTGCATTCAAAACAAAGTTTAAAGTAAGTACGTTTGACTGGTACATTTGGTAGATATTAAAATTTAAATGACCCTAAAAATGACCCAAGATTTCATTTGATGTACGATTWAGTCGAGTATTTAATTTCAGCCCAAAATATTATACGTATTACACGATATCAATGTGGCATATTATACAATATATATATTAAACATTATGATACAAATATGAAGCATTTTCCATATAATATGAAATGGAAATAGTAGATACGAATAACTCATAATCATAAGTTAAGTTATAGCGTTTTTACGAATAAGAAATTTTTCTGTTCACATGCATAATCGTATTGCTAGATAGGTACACATGTTGATTTTGTTTTGATAAATTTAATTTGTATATATTAGTGAAATATAGAAAAAAATGGGGAACTCCTYCTTTTTTATTTTAGGAATCAAGTGTACATACTTCATTAAGTAGTAGTGGATGTGTTAAATTTTAATTCGATAATAATTATTCTGAGCGGAGACGGTACAGACTCTATTTTATGATAATATCATTTACATTATCTATTTGTATTACTATCTATATATTCTATTTTAATAATTTATTTTTATTTTAGTTATACGATAACTAGTTTAAATTATTTTTGACATAACTCTTGTGTATATTAAGTAATATGATATGATGAACTATAAATTATAATACAGGTGTTTTGACTTAATGTTWAAATATCACTTAGCACCCATCCCATAAAAAAGGTTACACTCTCCGCTGTTGTAGTATTGATTATAAATACTCTATCATGTATACCATTGACTATAGTAATCAATCTTCRCAATAACAATAATATAATATTTTTTTGGATACCTGAGGCATATTATAAATTAAATAGGTATAATTTTTTTTTGCAAAAAAGAAACCCCGTTCACAAGGTGTGTTAACACATCTAAAACAGTAAAACATATCTTTAGCGATGTCGCTAGGTATACATTATATACCTACATATATATTATTTTTTTTTTTGTAAACTAATATTATATTGAATATAATATATATATATACCAACTACTAGCTAATAATAAAACTGCGTCATAGAGAACTTCCAATTGTTTTCCTCATCCGACACGGATTGAGAGTCAAAAACAAAGGTTGAATACCACGAATGATAAAGGAGTAAGGACGTGAATTGTTTTGAGCTTCAGCGATATTTTATTATACGAATACGCCGTACTATTGTGATATATTATATACATTTCTGTATAGTATAATGTTATGATGTACATTGTACAGACATTCCACGAGTTCTTTAGTATCGATAGCCATAATAATATAAGAATATACTCTATTACCTATACAAATTCGAAATTTATTTCGGTTTGATTAATTTACTAAAATTTTGTAATTTTGTTGTCCACGGATATATTATGCACAAGGTTTTACATTTTAGTATGGTTATGGCTTATGGATATTATTATATAAATTTGCAACACTGAATATAATATATTTCGTCATGCAGCAGACGTCAAATTTCTTAAACAACCGCTTAAAATGCGAACTTACGACTGTAAGACCTTATATAGAAATATATTTATTTTTAATTATTTATTTATGAACTCTTTATTTCCATATTACTTTCGTTTAGATTTGTCGTCATTAAATTTATTGAATAAATAAAATATTGAAATCCATCATAATAATATATATATATATTTTATAAAATGGTTTAATTTAATCTATTATAATTTATAATATAATTTGAGATTATAATAGCACTTAACAGACCAATAAACCTATGAGTAAATAAAAATACACTAAAATTAAATTAATTAATAAAATTCAAAAATATATACTATATGACAGATTACGAAGCATTAACAATATTAACCACATTTTTATTTTTAGAATTTTTAAATTCAATTATGGAGATATATTTTGATACTTAATTGTTCAATGCATTTGGAATATCTTGTGGTGGTGATAATTACACTGTATATTATGTATGTATTTGCATATTAACGTGTTGTTAATGTCACACGATCATGGCGATAGGTACCAAAAACAAAAATATTGATCCTGACATTTGATACTATTTACATTGTATTAWAATATTGTTCTCAGTGAAAAGAAACGCACTCGATATTATAATACCTCACATGAGACTTTTATTCCGTCTTTGCAGGGCTCGATCCGGCTTTTCCACTGTACATGTGGACCGGAAAGATGGGACACCTGACGCCTTCGGACGCCGAGTTCGTGGACGTGATACACACCGACGGCGGGGTGTTCGGATTTCCGGTAGCCCTAGGTCACGCTGACTTTTTCCCGAACGGAGGTTTTCCACTGCAACCCGGGTGCACCCTGCAGGAGCTGTCGAAGAACAACCTAATCACCAGAATCAGTGAGTATATAATATTTACCACCCGGACAGTGCATTTAGCGTGAGTGGGAAAATATTTGGATGTTTGAAAATCGGTACTTATATATACGTATTGTTTTCATTTACAAATTTATGATTTTTTTTTTTTTTTACCGACCGTGTTAAAATATATGAGATTGGATCAAAAATATTAACCATACCGGTTTTTTATACAATACGCAAATATATTTTAAACGCCGTGGTTAAAATATCGACGATTTAAAAAGAAATTATATTAAATAATTGTGTARATTAGTATAGCTCGTAGATATAAAACACGTGCCGCCGCGGCGCGCCATCCCAATCTAAAACACTCGTACTCAGTGCATGTAGMTATCGTCTGCACGTTACACATATATGGTGTATAATGCATTAGGTACCTACATRCTATAWAGAAACCTCTGCGGAATAAACTGTGAAACATATAAAATCTAAATTATAAAGCTACTCTGATGTTGTGCGGTCGAAACYCGTAATAATGTAATATATCTGTAGGTTGCATATAAATATATTATAATGTTGATGCACTAAAAAAATGATAAAACATGTATAGTGTATACGTTCGCAGTATGTGCTGTAGTACGATAAGAAATTATATGCTAAAAATATTCGGTYGCCAGTAAAATAGTCCATACATTTAATTAAACGATAGTCTGTATGGTCTTAATTCACGCAATTAGTATAATATACATATACTATATAATATGTACACCGAATGATGGTTGTTTAGACGGGTTAGCGATAATTGAAAAATAAATCGCAAACGACGTAAAGATAATAATAATTTATGCTATAAAAATTCAATGTCCGCGATAAATTTACTAGCTTCAATCCCAAGAATTATTCTTGAAGGATATCGACAACTTTTTGGATCGTACTTAGCTTCTAAGGACTTTCCTAGTAACCTATATTTCATATTTAAGGCATTTGATTCAGTGAATCATGAACTATTAATCCGTGTGCTTAGAGATTCAGGATTTGGTGAACCTCTCATAAYTTGGTTTTCTTCTTATCTCTCTGATAGATATTTTGTTGTAAAAGTATTTGGTACCACTTCTAAGGTATTGAAACCTTTTTCTGGTGTTCCGTAAGGTGGYCATCTGTTCCCAATTCTTTTTTCATTATTTGTAAATAGTGCTAACAGAATTATAAATCATTTTAAACTACTTGTTTTGCTGATGAMATGAAACTAATTATGCAAATAAATTCTCCTGTTGATTGCCTTAAACTTTAAGCTGATTTAAACTATTTTTAGAAATRGTCTCAGGAACTAGGCTTAACTTTGAATCTTGATAAATGTCATATTATGTCATTCACTAGGAAACATACTACACTTATTTACAGTCTAAATAWTTCGGAAATTTCTCGTGTTGAAATGATAGTTGACTTAGGTTTTAAGTTCAACAGTACTCTAGATCCGGGACCGCATATCACTATGATATGCTGTAAAGCTAACAAAATGCTCGGGTTCTTAAAGAGATTGGCTCACGACTTTAAGCTAGGACTATCATTAAAAATTATTTTTTGTTCAATTGTCCGTCCTATTTTAGAGTATGGTGCTGTTCTTTGGAATYCACATACCACAGGCAACTATCGACAACTAGAAATAGTACAAAGAAAATTCCTTAGTTTCACTGGGTTCATTCTACATAATATCATCAGCCTCACGATTATGCCCCTATTTCCGAATTCCTCAATATAGATACCCTTTCTAATCCGAGAATCGCTATAGGGTTTAAGTTTCTGAATGGATTGGTGTCAGGTAACATAGATTCGCCTTACCTCTTAAGCCTCATTAATTTTAGTGTACCTCAACGTATTTCTCGAAATAATGCTCCTTTCTACATCCCTCCTTACATCTCTAATTATTTAGCTAATGAATTATCTATCACAAGATTAAAGTCTCTTACCAATGTTGACGCTCCCCGCCTCTGTTAATGTTTATAGTGTTTATACCATACCTTATCTATGTATATCTTTATAACTATAATGTTTTTGTTATCTGTTACTTGTATCTAGAATTTAATTGTAAATCGGTCTATCTAACATTGTTTTTCCAAAGGGCTAGACCCGTAAATATAAAATATATAAAATATAAAATATAAARACATTGTACATGGTTTAACCGTGGTAACAACTTACTGCAGTATACAATAACTTAGCACAAATCTCGAAACAGTTACACTAATATCATATGAATATATATACTGTAATCGTAGTAGTAGGTAGTAATAATAATATTATAATACCTACGCGTGGGAGATTGTATAACTTAAACTGACGCCGACGGTACGCCAAAATGGTTGTTACTTTTATCTTTATTACAATAATATTACGTCTTTTACATGGTGATGTCGTGTTATTATTTCTTCGAAATTCGATCGTGGCTTGTTAAAAATACAATTTGATATCACCATATAATGATCATTCCATTGCAACGCAGCGCCGTGTCGAAATAATTAAATATCAYGACTAACGCGTCTGATYGTCGCCTAGTCACACAAACTCGGGCAAAATACGATACAATAATATTGTGATATACAGAGTGATTCACACCAACCATACTCACTCCATTTTTTTCTTCAATAATCGCGAAGTTATTTAAAATCTTACTGCCGACATTTTTATGTTTAATTAAAGACCATTGTATTTACAAATTCTTGAGATTTTCTGTGCTACTTTAATGATTTTCCTATGAAGAATAAATTTATGATTTTAAATTAAGAACCATGAACCACTGTTCACTTTAAATTATTTAGCGAATAWTTTTTTTGAAAATGTTGGCGTATCAAATTCAAAATTCAAAAGAGTAATTGTTTTTAAATTAGTTAACGTTGTATACTAAAAAAATATGGATCTACGTAAGATAAATGTTTCGGAGATGTTAGGGCTGGGCTATGGCGACTTTAAAATCATATAAACCAGTATGGATTCTAGCATCAGTTATCCTACCTACATTCAATATTATATCTATTTAATATTTTTGTTAAATCATTTTAAGGACAACTACCATTATTCCTATTATAAAGTAAGAAATAAACATTTACATCACACTTGCATGTATTTTATCTGTCTTATACACGTACAACATACCAAATTTTAGTGAACCAGTTTTAATAGTGTACTATTGGTTTTTACATTAGATTGAATTGACCTATTAAAAAATTTAGAAGTAAGGTTATTATCTAAGAAACCACGTAGGTTTTATTGACATTTTTATTTTTAAGTGAGTTAACCCTTTTGAAACTACATTTTAAAATTATCATAACTTACTTCAAAATAATAATATCAATAAAACCTACGTGATTTCTTAGGTAATAATCTTRATTCTAAATTTTATTCCAGGTAAATCTACTCCAATATAAAAACTATAAAAATATTTGAAACTAATGAATGAAAAATAGCCATGTCGTATGCGTRTAAAACGGAGACACCACAAGCGGTTGCGACGTCCTCTTAATAACCGAAAATCCGCTCGTTCGAATTTTGAATAAGATATTGTACCTTACGTACACCAACAATTTCACAAAACTTATTCTGAGTAATTGACAATAAAAAAAGAGAGTTCTCAATTAAAAAAAGAAAACATTTTTGCATCGTCACATGTGAACATTTAGTCCATAAGTAGCACAGAAAATCTTGAAATATGGTCTTTAAGTGTATTTTGAAATTCCAACTGTCAGAGTTTAATAAAAGTACAATATCAAAGGAAAAAATAGGGATGAGCATGATAAATCATCCTGTATAATATACTATGAAACCAAATATACGGCATACTGTGCTAGCAGTAAGATTATAATGACATTAAATGCCGTTTCCAACAAATGCGATTGGGTCCGCGATTCTTAAACAGCGGGACTATATTATTACTATTATTATTATTACTATTACTATTCCTATCACTATTACTATTACTGTTATTATTAATTGTGCACACCAGCGTAYGCCACCGACGACATAGCAATAATATTATCATAACTTTTGAGTTTTCTCATAATTTATTAAAAACGTTTCCTGAACCGTTTTAATTTTTAAAACGCACCTTAATGTATAACAGGCTTTCACATTAAACTTATTCGAATGCGAATTTATTCTCAGAGGGCGCAATTAATTTTGAAATGGTTTTCCATTTGTTTAAGATTTCGAATAAATCACAACTGTAATGTATTCATTTATTCGTGGTCTTTTGTATTTAAATATTTATATCGTCACGTTATATGTTAGGTTTTATCAACTCAATATTTATTTTATATTTTTTTTTGTAACACCGAAATAAGAGTAAAATTTAATCAGCAGATAAATTTAATAAATTAGAAGTCTGACATAAAATAAATTAACGAAACAACCCTGAAGCAATCGAGGCATCATGAACAATAATATTTATTGATTGAAAACTATAGTATAACATTCTTCAAGACAACTATTTAAGAAAAAAAATACTTGAAATAGTTTTACTTTGTTTTATTATGATTAAACTATTTAACCGTGATTAAAATTATGTTTTTACTTATTAGGTAATGATTATAAATTTTAATTATAAATAAAAATTTATAAAATTAAAAAATTCGATAACTTTTAATTTTTTGTTAATTTTAAATTATTTCAAGCTTATAAATATATTATACTTTCATAAATTAATATTTGATTGAGAAATCAAAAAAAAAACAAACTAATTTTAAAATTTCATTAATTCGTCTAAGATTTTTTTGATATTTTCCGGTTTTYAATATTTTGATCTGTGTAGTACAGCATATTATGATAGGACTCTACAAGAATATAATGATCAAGTACTTGAGTAATTTTTTTGAAAAGAGGCTCTCCACTTGACATTATGCTTACAGCTCATCATTAAAAACTATGAAAATAATTCCACGAAAAAAAATTGTTCTAGTTGTCTTATATTCATATACTATTAATTAATATACTGGATTTATAAAAATAAAGTGTAATATAATTTGCGTTCTTATTGATATATTATTACATAATTATATAGCAATTAATATATTTTATTTGAATTATAAATATATTGATCTTCATAAATATATTTATTCGCCATAAAAATAAGAAAATATGATATAAACTTAATGTAAAGCATTTAATATATGTATACAGATTTTACTGTAAATAGATGAGTTAGATCATAATATCGTCATACATCATAATAATTTATGATCTGTATCCATGTTAATCTTAATATTTAAGTTTAAGAAAATATTATGAACGACCATGTGATATACCATCCCAATTATTATATTATGTATAACAGCATTACACTAAAATATAAAACAGTTTTTTTTTTATTATTTGTGGCCAAAATGTATAATGCTTAAGTAGATTAGAGAGTAAGGTCTAAAGTAAAATTTCCAGTATATTAAGTTTGTTGTAGGAAACTTAAGAAAAATTGCAAAAAGTTTTCCAACATTATAGGTTTTATAAGCAAACGTCAGAAGAAATAATAGTGTTTTGTTGCTATGGGCACCTGTAGTTTGTTGAATTCGACAATAGGTACCGTATAGGCGTTACTTATCTCGACTCCATTATATTGCATAGAGTGTGAGAACATTAGAATAATGTATTACTAAAGAAACTTCAGTGAGCTATAAATATTCAAAGAACATAACTCATTGTTATTAAGTGCGTTTATTGAAACATCGACACTTGGATAAAATCAATTTCGACTATAAATGTTTTTGTCAACCGAGGAATGAACATAGAAAATAATTATTTTCCGTCTGCATTATAATACCACCTATTGCAATATAACATAGGAATCATTATTTCATAACAATAAAGAAAACCATTTTACTTGTTGAGAAATGAGAACCTCGCGACGTCAATTTATTACTCACATAATGTAATATGTTATAGATTATAATTATATATATATTTATAAATTTGAATCCTCGTCATTTAAATAAAAGATAATGTTTTGCAACATTATATATTTGTTGCTCAAGAAAACTAAATGTTGTAAGTGCATAAATAATCTAAATTCTAGATAAACGTTATTAGGTATCAATTTAATTATTATTATTTCATACGATTTTCATTTAACTTAAATGAAATAATTAAAATTTAATAGTTTGAGATCATGGTTTCGAAAACGGTTTCACTGCTTTCCAAAACTATTGAATACGTAAGTAAAACTATTCTCAATCGCTGCTACCAAACTAATAATACTATTGGAGAATAGGAATAATAAGTTTTCAAATCTAGTTTTGGCCAAACACATCCTACTGTAGGAAACTAATAAGAATTATCAAAAACAAGATTAACGCAGACCGCTCACATTTAACAATTGATAACACATAATATTGGTGAACCCAAAACGAATAACTTTATTTTTTAAAGAACAATTCAAAATTGCAAACATTCGTATTAAAAAACAGCCCAAATCAATGAGAATGACAACTATGTTTAAACTTTAAACTATTTTTTATTAAAAAGCAATAAAAAAATAAAATWCTTAATGAAGCCAAATACAACATTCTCGTTGTCCATTATCAACTGATTWAAAAAAAATATAYATCTAAGATTTTAATACACATTCAATATTACCAATTAATTTCGAACAATAAAATTAATTTGATTATTTGTTTAAAGRCGTATTTGATGAAAATATTCATTTGATTTTTTGGTGTACAATTTGTTTTATTTTTTCAAAATTTAGTACGAAAAATGAATATAATATAGGTAATGATTGAAAAATTTGACGGAGGACCATGAAGTATATTAAAATTATCGTATAACTAAATTTTTAATTTGGGTTGCAATTTTTTAGTGGCTTGCAGTCACGACAGGGCGTGGGAATATTTTGCTGAATCGGTCATCAATCCAATCGGATTTCCTTCGTTGCGATGCCTAAACTACGAATCGTTTACAAATGGCTCGTGTTTCAGAGACTTCGCGTATGCCAAAGAACAAAAAGTCCAATACATGGGATTGGCAGTCAACAAACAGTATGTTATAACTATAATATATAAAATATAAATTAAAAATTAAGAAATCGTRTTATTTTTTTWCGTTTTCAGGATCAGGGGACAATTCTACTTGGCTACGAAGCCGACGGCACCGTTYGCGTACAATAAAATATACAAACCTTAACACCGTGTTTGTAGAACTGTTTTTTAGTTTAAGGAAAGAAAAAGAAAAATAAACTTATTTTTCGTAAAAAATATGTTCTTGGAATCAATTAAATTAAATTATCTGCTATATCAATATATTATATTAGCTAATGCATAGCGCAGTCAACAATCAACTATATATAATACGTACAACGTATAAAACAGTGGAAACTTGTAGAAAGTTTTAAAACATCATCCTACGTGCGCGTGCTGTTATATAAAATATATTTAAAATTTTGTCTAGACACTCGGGGTATCTATTATCGATACGAAAGCGAGCACATTAAAAGTTTTACAGCAATATTATAATACCTGCGCATTTATTCGTCTTCTTGCAATCTTAGAATAAATTAGGTGTATGTTTTGATCACAGTTATTTTTTTGGTATTTCGGAGAGATATTCGTTTTTTGGGTTTCAGAATATTATCTATATATAACTTACCGAAAAGTGAAATAAAATATAAAGAATGCTGACATGCTGTAGACCTTTCAACAATAATAAACTCAGGTAAGCATTATGTAATATAAGAACAAAGTATGTAATCACATAATCGCTTCTATTAAATTAAGTGAACTATTAATTGCATTAGTTAAGTATGTGTTCTATTAAGAGTATGTCAGCACTTTACTAATGGCATTATTACATGTTTTATTGAGTGGATATCAGTTGTCTATCTTTGACCCACACGTGACATGCACAATTTTCGTTCAGACTAACCTAACTCTGTGTTGTTATCTTTAGTGTCAGTGTTAATTGACTTATTAATTATTGTGAAACTATACGTTTAGAACATGAACTGTATCCTTCTGTGACTTTTTTACAATATTTAAATTTTAAGACATAACGATGATATGAGCATTTAAAAATAAAAAATTATAACACGTTTTTACATGACCCCATTAAAGTTTGAAATATATTTCCCGAAACAAAGGCGCATATGTATTATACATATATGCCTCCAATCGCTCGTAGGTACACTTTAATATCGGTACATCGTATATTTACGCGGTTTTATACCACATGGCATTTTATTATATAAAATATTTATATTATTTGTACGCGTCGTAGCTCTGCATGAATAAAAATATTTTGTGAATTCGTAACTCCGCATGGTTGAAAAAAGGAGTGCATCGTAGCTCCGCATTCTAAAAATATTTTAAGCATCAAATGACCGCATGCCATAAGCTGATATAATGAAATAACCAATGTATTTATTTTCCTTGTGTTTAACGTTTACGGGACGAATTCAGCTCTCTGAACATTCTCTATAAATGAGATAATTAGAACACAAAAAAAAAACTATTCACATTTTTTAAATAAAAAAATTAAATTATATTAAGACAATTATAAAAATTTTAGCTCCATTTAATCGTTTCTAGGATTACCTATCTATTCTAAAATATCAACTTTAAATTTATAATTAACATATTATATTGAATTTAAAATAAGGCTATATGACATAAGCGCCAAAGCAAAAATGAAAACATTTCTGCCAAAATTAATATTTTATATAAGTAGTAGTTCTTTAAAAATTAGTCTTATTTTATATTTTTTAAATTACTCATTTCTTATAAAAAAAMATATTGCATTAAAAAATGATCAATAATAAATTTAATATATTGATTAAGATTTCATAACAAAAATTTCAATAATAAATTGTTAAAATATAATATAAAATATGCAAATAAATATAAATTTAATAAATCGGTCACCTGAGATTTTGGCGCTTATGTATGATATGATTTATGTGCTTTTGTACGATACGACTTTATTTTCTTATCTCATTTTGGCGTTTATGTTTTTCACCGTAAAATAAATAAATTAAATCAAGAATAAATGCGTTTTATGGTATAATATGGTATATTGTATACGGAGTTAAGGTGTTAACTTAACACTGTTAAGGYATTACAAAATGGTCACGATTCGTGCGCAGTTACGGGGCACCGATATTATTACATAATATATCTGGATAGTAATCGTAGTTCGGGTACGTCGGGAATGAGACTTCTAATATATATAGATGYTTTCCCGGCGTCTATACATATAAGACGAATTCCGGAAACAGTTGTAGCGCTTAGGAATGCGTATATTACACACACACACACACACACACACGTGCGCGCGCCCGCACGTACCGAATCGTATTGAGAAATAGAAACTTCGTGGGCCGTTTGAACGATCCTTTTCGTGTTTTTCTGTCGGCACGCGTACTCTCGCGATAGTACACACACATAAATCCGATAAAGACCGCCCTAGGAATGCACGCGTGTCTGATTTCGAAGGGTCGTACCCGCTTCGCCGCAGCAATGCAACCCACTCGCAACTCCAACGTCTCGCTGCCTACGCCAAAACGACGGTTTTTGACAGGGTTTCTGAAATATAATATATAGGTATACATTTATATACCATATGATGTTGGTATATACATATAACGTTTCAGTTCGGCACGCAAGAGTATATATATATATATATATATGTATATATGTATATATGTATATATGTATATATACGGTTAATATCGGAGGGAAAAAATAAAAACGACCGTTTTCCAACGTCATGTCCGCGTATTATCGACGTGAGTGCCAGCAGGTGTTTTTTCAGTTCATCTGCGACAAAGACACGGTAGGCACGATCCTAGCTAGATCAGCTACGTGTCTTTGGGTTCCGATCCCCGCCATCCCATGGTCGGTTAAATAATTCCACGACGCACCGACCAGAATATAGGTGGTTTTACGCGGGCCGATAATCGCACGCTTTCGCCTACCATCGTCATCGTGGTGTTACGTTTTATTTACTATCACTATATATATATATATATATTTTTTTTTTTTTGTTACAAATAAATTATGATCGTTCGTAAAAGGTCAAGTTATACAGCAACCCCTCCCATCACCCCCATCACGTTACGTACGGATAAGTATATCTGCAACTATATAATATACATGTCGTGCCGGGAGAAAAACTCGGAACTAAAAAAACAAACATGGCTATCGCGTTTAAGTAGGTATATGAGATGAATATCGACAGTCATTCGGCTCCCTCGTCGGATTATCATCGTGCTGTGCGTTGGGTACCTATACCTAAACTTTCATCTCCGAATCACCGCAGCTTAGKCCATCGAACGAGTCTTATATAAGTATAACATTATAGACAAGTGCGCCTTAGGGTACTTATATTATAACGTCCAGTCTAGTGTTTTTTGTACAATTGGAAAAATATATATTCATCAACTTGTATTGCAAACGAAAACGATTGGCCGCAGTTTTATTAAACGTCACCTTGAGTTTTAAACACAACATGGTGACTTTAACAYGATGTTATTGACGTCCCGATTTCGCCTGGAGTGGCCGAGAAATAAGAACTTCGAATGGTTTGGGTTGACAGCGGAAGCGGAACTTCGTGTGACCCGTAACCCGTGGAGCCAGACGACGGATTTTGTTGGTAACTTTTTTGGGTAAATTGTGAAACCAACGACAAAAGATAATCTTACAATCCAGCCGCTCGAGAACTTAGAATTCAACTCCAAGGGACCGACGAAATATTTGTAACGACATTCACCACATCAGAGTATTAGCGAGCCTCCCGAGCATATAAGTATGGATTTAGATCCGACACCAGGATACCAAAGCCCTCTGGTGCTGGTCACTGCCACCAGTTGTATCTACATTATAAGTTATTTATGGCAGTTCATGATCCACGGTTGAAGAAAATTTCTGTTCTCTTTTTTTTATAATTGTATAAGTCATATTTCAAATAACCATAGAATTAAAATCTTATTTACAAATATATAAATATATCTTTTTTAAAGATTTTCTAAATTATTCAAGACATTATTATTATATTAAATAGACCTATAATAAAAAGGTACCCTTAAAAAATAATTAAAAAATTAGGTGTTAAATGAAAGAAATAGGATAAAAATGTATAAATACCTAATTTAATTGAAAATCCAGTTCTTACATACTTCTTATGTATGTATTGTATTTTTATTTCAGAGAATAATAAAATTTAATTAACTAAAATAATAGTTTTAAACTAATTTTAAAATGTATTTTATGTAGCTACTTATCTGATATAATAAATTGTATAATAATAACGATTGTTTAAGTAATAATTGCCTATAAACATAGTTCATCAATAATTCATTTATATATTATAGGAATATAATTTTAGAATGTTATGTTATATGTTATTTAACAAACAATCTAAAATAGCGGAAATTATAGATTTAAATTGATTTTTAACAATAATATTATTAATATTTACTATATTATTACCTGTTTATTGAAAATATTACGTTCATATGTATTTTCTAATGATAAAAATGTATAATATATTATATAACTTATATTGAAATATTCAATAGATAATATATACATATAGGATATAATCCTCACAACTATTACTATACATGAAAACTTCTCTTGTCAGAAATCAAAAAAAATTAAATTAAAAACACAGAAGCCACTGTTATGTGTATTAGAAGTCTCAAATACTCGTGCTGTAAGAATTTTATTTTTACATAAGTACTGATTATTTATTATTGCTATGAATGATTTAAAGTTAAATTGAATAAAAAAATATACGATAACTTTCAAGCTTGTATGTATATATCTTATTTAATCTCTTTTAGAATTTCTCAACTAAAACATATTTTGATCATTTTTAACCTTAAAGTTTCTTTAGACGCCCTCTTGACATAGTGTTATTCCTTTTCAAACATTTTGAAACTGTCACGCCAAATTTTGTAGCTTTCTTTCTATCCGTATTTTCATACAGTGTACTGATGTTTAATTTTTTTATAGCTCAAAAACAGTATTTCTTTCATGATCTTTTCCCGATTGCATATCATAAAATATGCACCAGAAACTTAAAACTAATACCTTGAAAACGAAATTTAAAACGAATTTTGATCATTGGTTTTTTTTATTTATTGCACTGTAAATACGATTTATTGAATTTTCCTCGTTTAAAACAATCAATTATTAATTTTCATTATTTAACAA